TTTACCTGGGTGGAGAAGTGTAAATAGTGGGCACTCTGGGAATGGAGTTGAGGGTTGTCATTTTTTTTTTCCCTAGCTGAAAGAGAGGTCACTATGTAAGTTTGTATAAGATACTATGCTAGTCTGGGTAATAAATTCAAAGTAAGATAAAATATTCTATGGGAAGAATTTTCATGTCTGAGGGAATGGGCAGAAAAATGAATGTCATTTGGGAAAGGATACTTAGAGAGTGGTAGAGGGAGAACTCATTTACAGTGAGAGGCTATGTAGCCTAATAGTGAGGCACGTGGGCTCTGGACCTGGACCACGTGGATTCAAATCCTGTGTCTACCACTTAGTTGGCTGTGTGACCATGGACAGGTTACTGAATTTCTTGGTGCTTCACTTTCTTCATCTATAAAACAGGAATAACAATAGTACCTACCTCCTGGATTTGTTGTGAAGATGAAAAGAAATGCTACATGTTGTACTCATAGAGTGGTGTCTGGCCCGGAGTAGGTGCCTAATAATTGCTAACTGTTACTGTTTTGTAACACTTCACCAGGTGTGTCAACAAGACCAGCAAGGTGCGTGAGAACTAACACCACAAGTATTCTATCTTCTTGTTCTATCGAGAAAATCCAATATATTTACTCTCTGGCTATGGAATATGTGTGCTTTGGCTAAAACAAGAAAGAAGGTGCATAAAAGGGCTAGTAAAATCAGGATGAGAAGAGAGGGGCTTTCATAGAAGGAGGGTAAATAGATTGGGTTCTGGTCTGGAAAAATGAAGACTGAGATGCACTGTGATGAATTTTGTGAAAGACAGGAATAGCATGAATAATAACTTGTTTATGAAATACTGGAAAATTAGAACTGGCATGAAAGATGAATACTTTGAGGTGAATACTTGAACAGATGGTTACTTGACTGTGCTTGCTGTGAGTCGTTCAGTTACGGAGCTCATTAGCTCAGGAGTTTCAAAGGAATTTGGATGAAGGGTATGGGTTATGGTCCTTTAACTATCAAGGGTCATTAGGGGCGTTTGGGATAGAACCCTAGTTTGGTCTAGTGAAGCATTTGTAAATTCTGTTAATGTAGTATTTGCAGTTGCAAACCACCCAGCAACCTTAATTCACTCGATTCCCATACCAGTGAGTTCCTGAGTTTATACCATGGGCAAGTCTCTGCAGAGAATCAAAAGATGAGAGAGATGGCTCATGGTGAAGGCTCTGATCTGTGTTACCACCCAGAAAACACTGTGGCTAAATTAACTTAATTTGGAGGTTTAATATAGTTGGTTCATTTTTACTTATAATGTCTTGAGACCAGGCAATTTTTGGTTATTTTTTGAGTTTGGGATTGGTATTGTGAAGAAGTTAAGGAAACAAAAGTTTCTTTCTGTAGGGCAGCTGTGGGACTCATGAAATTGAGCTCAGTGGTTGAGCATCTGCCTTGGGTTCAGGTCGTGATCTTGGGGTCTTGGGATCCAGTCCCACATCAGACTCCCTGCAGGGAGCCTGCTTCTCCTTCTGCCTATGTCTCTCCTTCTCTCTGTGTCTCTCATGAATAAAAAAGTTGTCTTTTTGTTATTGTATTGCTCTCCTAAATTCTGTCAAGGATGCTTGAATGTCAATAGAACGTTTATTCTTTCTTTTATTTTTCACAAAAATCAATTTTAGGGCTAGAGGTTAATTTGGAGACCATCTTCCTCAATTCCTCCTTTCAGCGCTGAAGGAAGTGGGTCCCTTGAGTGACATACACAAGCTTGGACCAAAGCCCAAGTTCTAGTCATCTGTGTTTTCTTTCCCATCAGGCTGCTTCCCCCAGAGGATCAGGGTGATTGTAGTTGAGCTTATTTCCGTGTACACACAGACTCAAATGTGTTATGTTTTATCTTGGAGCACCCAGAAACAGATTTACTGTGAAGCCAGTGAAGCTTAGGCGTCAGGCCCCTCACTTGTATGAGCCTTGAGCGAGGAGAGGAAGCTAGGTTGTAATCAGGAAACATTTCTATATACACATTTCTGGTAAATGACCTAAAGAGAGAATGTAAGAGATGGACTTGACTTTCCAAGGCTCCAGTAATTTATTGTGATCTTTCTCACATTCTAAGAAAAAGAAACTCACTTGTGTGCCTATTTCCTACTTGTAATGCTGTATTCTTTTTCTTACAGAAAAGTGTTCTCTTCCTGCTGCAAGATTAAAAGTTTCAGGTTCTATAAAACCTCAGTTTGCTTCTGATGCCCAAGGATGTGATCAGTTAGAAATTTCATTTTACTATTTCAGATTTTGATTTTTGAATTAATTTTTATTTAATAACTTGAATACATTTAAGTTATTTTTATATTTTAATTTTAACCTTTGCTATAGTAATAAAATAAAGAAAAAGTTGCGTTAAAAGGTTTTAAACAAAAATGGTAGCTCCTTGTCCCATCCTTCCCCACCCCTTAGTTTTGCTCTCCAGAATCAAGCATTTTTAATTCCTTTAGCTCTTTTCTCTCACTTTTTACCTCTATATTGTTTAATATCTTGCCATCTTAATTGATCTGTTTTATATCAATTTACAATAATACAATAGTGTGGTATTATTATTTAGTTGTATGTTGGCTTCCTGTAATGGATTTAGCTTTAACTCTGAACATCCCTTCTCTCTGTTCTTATTTCTCCACAATAGTCAAATCATAATTTTTGGTTACCTCCATCATCACTGTTTATATTATGATGACCATTTAAATATATTTACAACAAAAGAAAGTAGAATCCTATGGTGTTATTTTTTTAAGAGAGGGGTGGGGGTTGGGACAAAGGGAGAAGGAGAGAGAGAATCTCAAGTAAGCTCCACACCCGGTGCTTGAGCTTGATGTGAGGCTTGATCCTACAGCCCTGAGATTATGACCTGAGCCAAAATCAAGAGTCAGATGCTCAACTGACTGAGCCACCCAAATGCCTGCTATGGCATTCTTTCTTGTACAACTTTTTATTTGTTTAAAGTTAATAATTATCTTATTTTCTTTTGCTTAATTTTCTTTGTTATAGCTTTTTGTTTTCCCCAGAGTCTGTAATTGCTTTGTTTTTCCTTTTATTTAATTTTCTGTATCTAGCCAAATAGATCATCAGAACTACAAAGCATCTATTTTATCAGTATTGTTTGTGGAAGTGGTCAAATATACCAGATAATCTACCAATCTTCCACATCCTCTTCCTCTCCAACCTCTCCCCCAGACCTCCTTCATCCTCCTTCTGCAGTATGAAGTAATATTTTTTCTAGTGTCTGGAAATTTATATGATAAGCCTTTGGTGAGAATGTTTTGTGAAGATGACACTCAATGGATCCTTTCGAAGTTTCAGGGGATTATCTAATCATTATAAGCACTTTTATGTAATAGTTTTATATAAGCAGATTTTGAAAGTGTGTTTTAAATACTACTGTACAAGGATTGCCTTCATTTTCTAGTTGACAAGGTTTTTGAAGGGAGTTCTCCTAATAGTGGATAGAGTGCCACATCTGGATGCCTGAAATGTCTCGTGATTAAAAGTAGGATTTGCTACTATCTAATTCAAGTCCTATTTTTTGACATGTATATTAACCTCAGGGTGAATTACCTAAAGTTTGAATCCTAGATAATTATTAAGAATATATTCCCAATTTCTCTTTATTCTCAAACTCATAATGGCGCTTGCCACCATGAAACCATTAGTTTTTAATATATGGAAGTTAAATATAGTTTTAAAACAAATTATATTTTAAAAATTTGTTTTACATACTATTTTTTGTTAGCTGCATTAGAAGCATTACACAATAATAAGGAATTAACTATGCTTGTTCCAATAACACCTTCCCTCCCTGATACCTTATACATGCAGAACATTTTTGGTGAATTCCTACTGGGTCCTACTAAGTAGGACAACACATTGTTTTACTTTACTGAAGTAGAAACTAAGGCTTTTGCAGCAATTCATGATTAGGTTTTCTTATGGAGACTTTTTGTTCTTAGATAATGCATTCCCCTGTAAAGGAGGATTAGGGTTTTCCTAAATGATCCACTATATAAATCGGGAATGGTGCTGATTCTTTAGAGAAGGAAAAATTATTTTCAGTGTTTTTCAATATATTTTAATTCCATTCCTTTTGAGATTGATGCAATTCAAGTTGCATGCTATTCAGTTGAGTTCTTGTGGAACATAGCTCTATGCCTTCATTTGATTTATTTCCTGAGACATCACTGGAAGAAAACAATGTTTTTGAATCCTTAAGATCTTCGTTGAAATGCTCAATCCTGTTAGCCTCTACAAGCAGAGATTAAATGTCTGTGATCAAGTCCTCCTCCCAGAATGCACCGTTATTGGAATGCCCCTGGCGTCTGTCTAGATCTGTAGTTTTGAAGTAACTACACATCTCAGGATGCACCACCCCTTTGCCCTTCCTTTTCTGTCTTCAGTTGTATTGTCCACTGAAAGCTGTGGACAGACATAGGTGAGGTAAATCCCCAGGGGCAGGTGTAGGCTGACTTGTTTGCCTGAGATTTATTTTTCCAGATTTTTAAGAAATTGGTGGGTGATGGGGTTCACACTGAGGAGTGGTGGAAAACAGGGAAACACCTACTGGAGATTATGGCAGAATTTCTAGCTATTTATCAATGGGCTGTTTGCCTACTTCCCTGCTTGATTTCCCAAGACTTATAAAGTTGAAGGTGGTTTTCTGTTATCTCCATTTCATGTCACTTGCACATGTATAGTTAACTAGTGATTGATTTGGTGCAGTAATTTTTTTCCATCAGTGCTAAGGGGCTTTCCCCAGAATTTCAGTATGCATGGTAGATTCTAAAGCGATTCTCTAGGGATTCTGTGCATTTCTCCTGACATTTTGGATCCTTTAAAATGAATGATTTTGCTATTTGGGTATTTTGTGTAAGGGATTTCCTGGCACTTGCACTTATACTGTATTACTGGCAGCTTATCAACAATATATGTGTTTACTCCATCAATTGACTATGAAAACATTTGGTTTGTTTCATCAGTTAGATTCAGCATCACTTCTCTCTGAGGAACAGTTAAGGTGTCTTCTGGATGAATGCATACTCAAACAGAAGTCTGTGACTAGACTTTCTTCAGAAAGAGAAAAGGAAGACCTTGAGGATATAACACCGGAGGTCCCCTGTCTTTCCAGATCTATCCTTTCTGAGCTCCTAAATGGGTTAGAAACAAAATTCACAGAGGTGAAAGATGCAGATATGCTGGAGAATGTGGAATGTGAAACATGTACAGGCTACTATCTCACCAAAGCCTTGACTGGGCATTTCATGTCCCGGGCTCTTGTCATCGAAGCAGAGAATTTGAAATGCCTCCAACTTTCTGAGGACAAGGTTATTTGTGACACAAAAGACTATTTTATGTCGAAGACCCTTGGCATTGGAAGACTGAAAAGGCCCTCTTTCTTGGATGATCCACTGTATGGCAAAAATGTGAGCCTTTCATCCGAAGACCAACATCTGAAAGTCAGCCCTCCAGAGAAACCAGAAATGGGTAAGGCTTGGAGAATATATATGTTGGTGTGTAATTATTACTCAGCCTCTCAATATAAATGTGTTATAGTTTAAGGTAGAGCAGGATAAGAGGTATGTTTGTAAGTCACAGATGGTGTCAGTAGCATGCAGCATGACAATTTATCCGTGTTTGTATGAGAGCAAGATTTGAGTTTAGTACTTTTATGAGATACATTATTCCTAATGGTAATTAATACATATTCTTGATGGTTATACAGAAAACAGTTATGATTTCAGAATAAAACAAATTAGTTTCAACAGATGCAAATAATTTGAATAGATTTGCTTAGTCTTTTAACTTCCACATTTCAGGGATGGACATTTATTCCACGGGATGAATTTATAAAATGTGAAATACATTTTATTAGTTTTTTTTTTTTTAAAGAATTTACTTATTTATTCATGAGAGACATAGAGAGAGAGAGGCAGAGACACAGGCAGAGGGAGAAGCAGGCTCCATGCAGGGAGCCAGATGTGGGACCCGATCCTGGGTCTCCAAGATCACACCCTGGACTGAAGGCGGCGCTAAACCGCTGAGCCACCCAGGCTGCCCTCCATTTTATTAGTTTCTATACAAATTTCTCATCCCAGTTGTGTGTATATACTCGGTATTTTGTCTGGATACAGTGTTGCGTTTTACAATGGTACAATGGTACAGGTGGACATTTTTTGACATACTGTGGACAGTCTTTGACATAAATATTCAATTACCTATGTTAGAAGTCTATTTAAGTAGACTGAACTTTTTCCTCTAAGGTAGATTACTCTATTGAATGATCTATTGATTATTTTCTATATTGTCTACTAAATTTATGTTGATCTATTACTGTCTCCATCCTACTTATTAAATCTAGAATCTATTAATTCTGAACTAACTCCTCAGTCCCATATTTTTCACTGCCTGCCAGTTAGCTAGCTCCATGTGGTTATGGCCTCAAACTGATTTCCTTATCTTTCCTTTTAACTCAGATTTTCCTCTCCTGTTTCTGCAGTCACCCTGGGCTCAAAATTTGAGTCATCGTTGTATCTTCTCCCTCTTTTGCTTCCCACCCTTCGGTATTGCTTGCTGTGCTCCTGCAGTGCCTCCCATGCCCATCCCTTCTTTGCTCTTCCTGCTGCCTCAGCTGGACACTGTGATAGCCCTCGGACCAGGCCTCCTCACCACTGGGTTCTCCCCTCCGGCCATTGCTGATCATGGCTAAACTAATTCCACCAAAGTACAGCTTTGGTGACCACACTTTGCACCTCAGAAACTTCTGACGCTCACCACTGCCTACTGAATATGATCTACATTCTTTCCCTGGCCGTTCAAGGCCTCCACAATCAGAGTTCGATCTTCCTAATTGGTCTCTAACTAAGCCTCTATGTGTTATTCAGGTTAGCTAATCTGGTCTCAGGATTTCCAGTGCTTTCCTCTGCCCCTGGACAGCCCTTGACCCTCTTTTCCTGAAGAATGTTCAGGTGCCCCTTCAGTGGCAGTTGGATTCCCAACCCTATCTTCTCTGAATGTAACCTTCCACGCTTCCCTTTTTAAAAATCTTGATTTCTCCTCTGAATGTCCTAGAACATTGGTCTCCCATCAGATCATTTCACATACCCTGTCTTTTTTTTTTTTTCCACATACCCTGTCTTGAAGTTGTTGTGCACATGCGCCCCTTCTCTTCCTTATACTTGTGTAATTTTTTTTTAAGGACAAAGATCCTATCTTTTGATTTGTTATTACATCTCCTGTGATGCCCAAAGTGCTGCCTTAAACCAAGTGCCTGTTTAGTAAATGAAAATTTACCCAGTTTTCAAATAATATGCTGAAAATGTGGTTCACATTTATTCTTCACATCATGAATGAAAGCAGGTGGTATTGCTTAAGAATTATGCAAGGCTCACATGCTATATAAAGATTTGGAACTTTTCTTCTTTTTTTAAATGAAATTTTACAAGCTATGAAGTTTGTATCCAGCAGAGTTCATTTTTACAACATGCAATTCGATTAGATGGGTGCATTTTGCCTCCCCCCACTAAGGATCTTCATTTAAAAAATAAACTGTGAAAACTTTGTTCTGCTCTAAAATCACAGTGTATTTTCTTTGTAGCTAAAGAATTTTTATCAGAGAAGGTATCTGCATCTCCTTTTTGTCTACTCTAAGCAGACTTACATTGGATGTGACAATTTGTTGTATATGCGAGCTCATTCCAGTGGAGTCTGTGTGTGCGGAGGTTTAGAATAGTACTTCACTAAAATATGACTTTATTTCTATGTGACCTTGTGTCACACTGATGTATATCTGTCTCAGAGTAGAACATGACAAGATGGAATGAACTAGAACTTCATGTGACTTGATGGAAAGCAGCTGTATAGTTTATCTATCACTTCATAGAACATGCCTTTGAAAGCACCAGGAGTCCCTAATGTGTAACAACCCTTGTGAGTGTGGTGGACTAAGATGGCATAGAGTGAATATGGGAGCTAGATTTTGTTTTCTGTTTATTGCATAACAAACTATAAGGAACAGGTTCTACAATCTCCTTTTGAGTGCATGTTAGCATACCTGAGGTTGGAGTTTCTAATTTTACTAACCTCGGTGTTTACGATGAAAATCCTTGGCTAATCAATTTTATTCTGAATACTAAATTGTAATTATGTGCTTTCTACGAAAGTGAACACTAAAATGGAATGCCAAGCCAGCTTTCTTGGCAAAAAGCCCTTCACAAATGTAACTTTAATGAGGAGTTGCAGTGTGTTCAGCCATTACATTATATTTAGGTCTTAGGAAGCAGATACATGTGAATGTGATTCAGAGTAGATTTCTGTAGACAGGAATGAACTAAGAAAGACCAGTTATTTTCTCTTTCAATAGAAAATATTATTAATACATACTTTTCTTTTTCTTGATGAATTGAGGTCTGTTACAAGTATGAAAATACTTTTAAAAGGCAGAGTCAGATAAAACTTCAAAAAGAGGACCCAGCTGAATGATATTGAGGGGCGTTCTAAATTGTGGCATTGGAAAAGAAGGATCTGCCTCATAGCTGTATTAAAGTTTGTGCTTTAGGCTTAGTGGTAACTACTGATATTTGACTGTCTGGATACAAGGTCCAGTAAATTTAGGGGCTCAGTTGGTTAAGCATCTGCCTTCAGCTCAGGTCATGATCTCAGGGTCCTGGGATGGAGCCCGGCATAGGCACCCTGCTCAGTAGGGAGTCTATTTCTCCCTCTCCCTTTGCCCCTCCCTCTGCTCATGCACTCAAGCTCTCTCAAATAAAACCTTAAAAAACAAAAAAACTCCAAGGTCCAGTAAATTCAGTGTTGTACTCACTCACTGTTGGGGCTTTAGGGGATTGGTAAATACTGTCTTCTCTTCCCCACCCAGATCAGAACCCGTGTAAAGATAGATGGATTCTGACGAGTGCAGAACAAGTAGGTTGGCTTCATTGCTGATGAAATGTAGGGCGTTGTGAACTGTGTAGGCAGTTACATGGTCTTCTCAATACTGCGTCCTCCAGGTGAACTGATACACCCAGTCACTGGCAGAGGTGTAAAGCTTCAGGCCTCACCTGTGGAGACCCAACCATGTAGAACCAATAGCATGGAGGAATGGAGGAGCCATGAAATAGCCTTGGTGGGGAGGGGCAGTGTGCTGACTCCCATGAAGGAAGGGGCTAAGCTGAGCATGCCCTTTCTTCCCTCAAACTCACTGACCAGCTTTCTTTGGCACCGGGAGATAGCCCTGAGTATACCGGCTTTTTAGGGAGAAAGGCCTTCAGGTCTGTGGTTAGTCTAGTATTTAATCAAGTTATCCTGTGTTGGATTGCTTTCCAGAGAATCCAAACAAAAAGGCGTCCTATGCATGTATGGTATTCTTTTTTCCCCACTTAGCATTTGAACTACTTATCAAGAGACATTCATAAAGAGGAAAATATGAATAACAAAAGCAATAATAATAGAATAGGGCAAAAGGGGACACCAAGTCAGTCCTGTAGTAAAGAAAGGGGTCAGACTATACTAATTCTTCAGGGGCAAAGTGGAGTTTCCCATAGGACCTGTATATTAGTGCTTTAAAAAATTTCTGTATCGAATGAGTCAGTTAAGTTTGTTTTAAGAATAACAACCCTAGGGATCCCTGGGTGGCGCAGAGGTTTGGCGCCTGCCCTTGGCCCAGGGCGCGATCCTGGAGACCCGGGATCGAATCCCACGTCGGGCTCCCGGTGCACGGAGCCTGCTTCTCCCTCTGCCTATGTCTCTGCCTCTCTCTCTCTCTCTCTGTGTGACTATCATAAATAAATAAATAAAAAAAGACATTCTTTAAAAAAAATAAAATAAAAAAAAATAAAAATAACAACCCTAAAGGAAAACTAGGGCTGCTAACTTTCTTGGTTGGCTCAGGAGTGTCCTGGTTTTTACCACCGAGTGTTTCTTGTCCTTGGAAACCCTTGGTCTCTGGCAAACTGGGATGATTGGTCACTGTAAATTGAAACTAAGAACAAAAAAGCCAAAGGGCAAATTAATTACCTAAAGCTTGCAGTAGTCTGGGTAAGTAGCAGGAGCCTGGAGCTAGAAGAGCAGAGGGATGTTGGGTGTGCCCACTCACCAGCATTATCTGGTCTAGTGGTTGGGAGCATGGGCTTTGGCTGAGCCAGATCTGGCTTTGAATCCTTTGCTATTAGCAATGATCTGAGGCAAGTTACTTAATCTCTGTCCTCCTCACCTTGGTTTCCTTATTGGTAAGATAAGATGGTTTTATTACTTCAATAAGGATCAAATGATTATGTCTGTGACTGGGCGTGGTTGGCTTACATGGGGGCAGTAGTCCCTCCTTATCTGCTGTTTCAGCCACCTGTGTTCTGCAGCCTTCCAGAAGCAGGTGATTCTCCTTTTGACTTGTCAGGAGGTTAACAGTAGGCTAACACTATGTCACAATGCCTATGTCCTTCACCTTCATCCCCTCATGTAAGCGTTTTATCCCCTCACATCATCACAATCAG